GGCCTTCAGGCTTCTGCATAACTTTTATATAGTCCCCCACCGTCATCCCTGAAATGTTCCTCCAAATATGCCTCATTTTGATCACACTCACCTAATGTCCCTTCCTGGAAGATGCCATCTATCTTCTGCCATGTTGGCATTATCCTTGCTCCTCCCTGGTGGAGGGCTCCTCTCACGGCTCACTCCCTACCCCACCCTCACATGGTCAGCCTTGCCTCCTCTCTGAGTCATCCCCTCCCTGTCCACTGTTAGCACAATGGATGCTTCCTTTGGAGCATTTATCCTAGTTGTAATTTGCTATTTATTTCTGGAACTCTGATTCATGTCTGTTCTCCTAATCAGACTGTAGGCTTGTGAAATCTGGGATTTTGCAGGAATGACAGCATGCCCTTCTCTCACCATTGCACACAGCTTTGGGTCCATTCTGTGAAACGCTCCCCCTGCAATCTGTGTGCTTTAGGCAGAAGGCTCTTCATACATGCATTACGGATTGATTAATTTTTAAAATAATTCAGCAGGCTGTGGAGAGTCCGAGACAGCAGAAGTCTTTCTTTATTTCTTAGGAGATTTGGAATTAGCAGATCACTTCAAGTCTTTGGGCCTTTGGGGAAGTGAGTTGACAGAGAAAACGTAGGCAAGGTTGAATAATTATTTTGGAGGTTCACTCTTTGTGACTGTTAAGCCTTTCCAGTAGAACTAGAGTACGAGGAGAAAAGGAAGGCTTCAGAGGTGTTTCAGAGTCAAGCAGCGGCCATGGCAGCTCCCGTGAGAGGGCTGAGCAGTGAAGGAGCTCTTGACAAGGCTACTCCTGATGTGAGGGCTGGAGGGGAAAGAGGAGCTGAGCAGGAAGGGCATGGTGCAGGTGGGGGCTTGCACTCAGAGTGAAAGAGGCCACCAGAAAATGTACCCTGAGCAGTCCCCTGCAAGCCCCAACCCCCTTTCGGTAGCTGCCTGCCTCCCTGGTGCTGTCAGGGTGCTGCTTATGAAATCTGGTACTGAGTTCCTAGGTCTGTATAGGACTGAGAGGGTCTTGTTGGGAGTGCTCCTGTGGCCCTGCTGTCCTGCCTGCTCCCCACCTCCTTTCCGGGAATACTCTGTTTAGCTTTGGAGATTCCGAGCAAAGTTCTATCTGTTGTCTTTTCTTGTCAGGCAAATTGACCCCTTGCTTTCTTATGCCTGTGTTATGTCCATCTATTTTTCCACTTTTCTAGTTATGCTTATTAAAACAGATTGCACTTGTTTATTGACATGTCGGTTTCTTCCTGTGAGCTCCTCGAGGACAGGGTCCATGCTTTGTTCACCTTTGTCCTTAGTGCCAGCCTGGTAACAAGCACATGGTAAATGTTGCACAAATGGCTATTGTTGGAGCCAATGAGTACATGAGTGACAGGTGATAGAGTGTGGTTCCGGAGAGCTGGGTCACCACGCGTGATATATAGGTGGTGGAGGAGCCTCGTGTGATGAATGCTAAAGAAAAACTCAACAGGAAGATAGTGAAAGGGCGAAGTTGTGAAGATAGTAGGGGAAGCAGGAGGAAAGATTTGAATTTCTGCTTGATGAGGGTGCTGATGAAACTGGGAAGGATAGCTTGGAATGCATTGAGCTAAAATGTGAGATATGTTTGAAAGTCATTTAACATCATTATAGTGGAAGGCAAGGCTTATATTCAGCACCTTTGCACTAATATGGTTATATAGGTTCTTATAATATGAAATACTTTCATACCAGTTGGTGAATAGATGATGTCAAAGACCAATATAAGTAATAACTGCCTATGATTATTACTATGTGGTGTGATCAAGTTGTCATTTAGTTAAAATGAAAATGACATCTGAATAAGGGCAACAGAGACTCTCAGATTCTGTGGATAGAGTGTAAATCAGTACAATTGCTTTGGAAAGCACTTTGGTAGTCTCCATGCAAGTGATTACACATATTTTTTTTATGCTCCAGCAATTCCATTCCCAAAAGAAATGGGTATATGTTGTACCAAAAGACAAGTGTGAGAATGTTCCAGCAGCAGTGGTCAAGCTATGCTGTGGTGTTAAGGGCCATCGCCATTACCTTTGGTGATGGTTACGTAGATGTTCCAGTTTATTATTATTTTTTAACTTTTATTGCAAGTTCAGGGATACATGTGCAGGTTATATAGGTTAATTGCATGTCATGGGGGTTGGGTGTACAGATTATTTTGTCCCCAAGGTAATAAGCATAGTACCCAATAGACAGTTTTTTGATCCTCACTCCTCCTACCACTTTTTGATTACTCATTGAAATATATAGATAGTATTTATAATGTCTTCATATAGGTGTTAAACTGTAACAGAAGCTTGTTTTTACAATTATATAAAAATAGGCTGGGCACAGTGGCTCACACCTGTAATCCCAGCACTTTGGGAGGCCGAGGTGGGCGGATCACCTGAGGTAGGAGTTGGAGACCAGCCTCGTTAACGTGGCAAAACCCCATCTTTACTAAAAATACAAAAAAATTAGCTGGGCGTGGTGGTGGGCACCTATAATCCTAGCTACTAGTGGGGCTGAGGCAGCATAGCTTGGACCCTGGAGAGGGAGGTTGTAGTGAGCTGAGATTGCAACACTACACTTCAGCCTGGGTGACAGAGCGAGACTCCATCTCAAAAAAAAAAAAAAAAAAAAATTCTGGGTGCAGTGGCTCACACCTGTAATCCCAGGTCTTTGAGAGGCCGAGGCGGTTGGATTGCTTGAGCTCAGGAGTTCGAGACCAGCCTGGGCAACATGGTGAAACCCCATCTCTACTAAAATACAAAAAATTAGCTGGGAGTGGCAGCATGCACCTGTAGTCCCAGCTACTTGGAAGGTTAAGGCAGGAGAATTGTTTGAACCCGGGAGGTGGAGGTTGCAGTGAGCCAAGATCGTGCCACTGCACTCCCGCCTGGGCTACAGAGCAAGACTCCGTCTCTGAAAAAAAAAAAAAAAAAAAGAATTATATTAAAAAATCTTATTTTAAGCTTGTAACAATATATGCACCATCCTCAGTTTTCTTAATATCCTTTTTATATGAAAAACCAGTTCTTTGATAGTATTAATAATTTTATTGACGTTTCTTCCCCCAAATATTTTTTCTCATTTATTTGCAAATGAGTTTTCAAATGATCACTTTGCGAGTTTTGTTTTTTTAAAAAAACTGTGTATGTTTTATATTTTTATATGCATTTATCACACACATACTTTCCTTCTCTCAAAGGTTAATTTGCTGCAATGTATTCTTCCCACACCCAACTTTCTGACTCAGTGGCACTTGTTCACCTCCCACATTAATTTTTAATCAATTAACTCATTCTTTTAAAGGATAAATTTCCATCTTAATTAGATGCTGGTGTGGAACTATTGATAAAAACTGTACCTTCTCATACTTTAGCTCCTTTTTTTCCCAACTTATATCATTTTTAGTTCAATTTGTTAAAACGTCCAAACTTAACACCACACAACTGAAAAATGTTTGATCAGAGTCAATTCGAGCAGTGTTGCAGAAACAAAGTTACGGTTTATTATAGCTAGAGATTGGATTCTGTTACACTAAATAATTTGTATTTTGCCTACAGTGATATCTGCATAAGGCAAATGAAAGGAATTAACATTCTCTGATTAGCCAAGTCAGCAGTTTTTGAATTTCTAAGTGATCACAAATCTTGAATTTTTTAACCACATGGCTGTACATATATTTAACTTTCCATTAATAAAGAAATAACTTCATAATAATTAAAAAATAAAAATTGTATTGACTATAATTTATTCAACATTACAGAGGCAATAGTGTATTGATTAGAAACATGGGTTCTGGGTCAGACTACTGGGGTTTGAATCCCAGCTCATGTATTGTCTGAGTGACCTTGGGTGAGTCACTTATCCTTTGGGTACCCAGGTTCTTTGTCTGCAGAAAATGGTTACTGTGAAGATTGAAAGAGTTAGTTTATGTATAGCACCTAAGACAGTGCCTAGTACATAGTAGGCACTCAGTAAATGCTAATGATTTGTTGCTATTGTTACATTTGCTGAAATATTATTTAGGACTGAGAGTGAATGTCAATTTAGAAAGTAAGAACACTTTGAATCACAGTTTATGTGACAAAAAGGACAATTTGGGCCTTTTTGATTAATGATTAAAAGACATACATAAAAAGAAATGATTATTTTTGGACAAACAGCTAGTTCCTAGAAAAAGGTCAAAGTTATTTTGAAGCTAACATTTAAATAAGAGTTATTAACTGAGAGAAATAAATTAGTGTTGGCAAGAGTGACTGCTGTTGTTGGCTATTCTGACAGCATAATAATGGTTGGAGTGACCATACAGACAGAATCTAACCATTATACTTCCCATAGATTGCGGCTTTAGTAATAAATAATAGTAACTTGTGTTTTATGATGTAACAGTTAAGATCAAAAGGTATCTGCTGTGGTTTGATTGCCTACTCCAAAACTCATGTTGAAATTTAATTGTGATTGTAAAGTATTAAGAGGTGGGGACTTTTAAAATGTACTATTATTATTTTTTGAGACAGAGTCTCGCTCTGTTGCCCAGGCTGGAGTGCAGTGGCACAATCTTTGCTCACTGCAAGCTCCACCTCCCGGGTTCACGCCATTCTCCTGCCTCAGCCTCCAGAGTAGCTAGGACTACAGGCGCCCGCCACCATGCCTGGCTAATTTTTTTGTATTTTTAGTAGATGGGGTTTCACTGTGTTAGCCAGGATGGTCTCGATCTCCTGACCTCGTGATCCACCCACCTCAGCCTCCCAGAGTGCTGGGATTACAGATGTGAGCCACTGCACCTGGCCCTAAGATGCAGGGACTTTAAGGGATGATTAGGCAATGGGGACTCCACTGTCATGAAGGGATTAATGACATTATCCTGGGAGTGCGTTAGTTACCACAGGAGTAGTTTCTTGATAAAAGAATGGGTTCAGCCCGATTTTCTCACTGTCTCCCATGTTTACTTGTCCTTCTGTTTTCTGCTTTCCACTAAGGGAAGATGCAACAGGAAGGTCCTCACCAGTTGGCTGAGCAGATGCAGGTGCTGTGCCTCTGGACTGCCTAGCCTCCAGAACCGTGAGCCAAACAAAGTTCTATTCATTGTAAATTACGCACTTTGTGGTATTCTGTTATGCAGCCGAAAATGGACTAAGATAGTATTGTAAACTTGTATTCCATGATATTTACCCAAAGTATGTAGAAAGCCTGGCTCAGAGCCTCAGAGCTGCCCACTGGACCCACAGCTGATCATAGATGCTTGTGTGAGCCCAGCCAGAACCAGAAGATCTCCCAGCAGACCCATAGACTCAGGAAAAATAAAAAAGCTTACGGCTTAAGTCAATGAGTTCTTGGTGAAGCTTGTTACATATCAGTAGCTAACTGATAAAATCAGTTTTATCTGGAAAGACTGAGAATCTTTGTCTTACCTTTAAATATTAGTGATATATTCCTCAGGTTCTCAAACTCTCCAATAACTGTTAACAAATTCTTGATGTGTATGAAATCCATGTATGCTTCTAGGTTCTCCAGGTTGGTCATCTTGTTTTCCCCTCATTTGAGCCTGACTTCCCCTCAACTTCTAACCTGACTTTTATTTTTATATATTTATTTTTAAAATTTTATGTTCCTGGATACATGTGCAGGATGTGCAGGTTTGTTACACAGGTAAACGTGTGCCATGGTGGTTTGCCACACTTATCAACCCATCACATAGTTATTAAGCCCAGGATGCATTAGCTATTATTCCTGATGCTCTCCTCCCCCCTGCAACCCTGACAGGCCTCAGTGTGCGTTATTCCCCTCCTTGTGCCCATGCGTTCTCATTGTTCAGCTCCCACTTATAAGTGAGAAATGTGGTGTTTGGTTTTCTGTTCCTGTGTTAGTTTGCTGAGGATAATGGCTTCCAGTTCCATCCATGTCCCTGCAAAGGACATGATCTCATTCCTTTTTATGGCTGCATGGTATTTCATGGTATATATTTACCCTACTTTCGTTATCTACTCTATCATTGATGGGCATTTGGGATGATCCAATGTCTTCACTATTGTGAATAGTGCTGCAATGAACATATGCATGCATGTATCTTTTTAATAGAATGACTTATATTCCTTTATTCTTTTGGGAATAATAAATAGAATGGTTTATATTCCTATATTCCTTTGGGTAGATACCCAGTAATGGGATTGCTGAGTCAAGTGATATTTCTGGTTCCAGATCTTTGAGGAATCACAATACCATCTTCCACAATGGTTAAACTAATTTACAATCCTACCAACAGTGTAAAAGCTTTCCTATTTCTCCACAGCTTCACCAGCACCTGTTGTTTCTAGACTATTTATTTATTAATTTATATTTTTTGAGACACAGTTTTGCTCTGTTACCTGGGCCGGAGTGCAGTGGCATGATCTCGGCTCACTGCAACCTCCACCTCTGGGGTTCAAGCAATTCTCCCATCTCAGTCTTCCAAGTAGCTGGGATCACAGGCACCTGCCACCATGCGCAGCTAATTTTTGCATTTTTATTAGAGATGGGGTTTCACCATGTTGGCCTAGCTGATCTTGAATTACTGACGTCAAGTGATCCCCACCTTGGCCTCGCAAAGTTCTGGGATTACAGCCATGAGCCGCTGCGCCCAGCCATTTCTTGACTTTTTGATAATCGCCATCTGACTGGAGTGAGATAGTACCTCATTGTGGTTTTGATTTGCATTTCTCTAATGATCGCTGGTGTTGAGTTTTGTTTTTTTTGTTTTTTTTTTAGACGGAGTCTTGCTCTGTAGCCCGGGCTGGACTGCAGTGGCCAGATCTCAGCTCACTGCAAGCTCCGCCTCCCGGGTTTACACCATTCTCCTGTCTCAGCCTCCCAAGTAGCTGGGACTACAGGCGCCCACCACCTCGTCCGGCTAGTTTTTTGTATTTTTAGTAGAGACGGGGTTTCACCGTGTTAGCCAGGATGGTCTCGATCTCCTGACCTCGTGATCCGCCCGTCTCGGCCTCCCAAAGTGCTGGGATTACAGGCTTGAGCCACCGCGCCCGGCCAGTGTTGAGCTTTTTTTTATATGTTTGATGGCGACATAAATGTCTTCTTTTGAGAAGTGTCTGTTCATGTCCTTTGGCCACTTTTTAATGGAGTTGTTTGTCTTTTTCTTGTAAATTTGTTTAAGCATCTTGTACATTCTGGATATTAGACCTTATCAGATGGATAGATTGCAAAAATTTTCTGCCATTCTGTAGGTTGTGTGTTCACTCTGATAATAGTTTCTTTTGCTGTGCAGAAACTCTTTAATTAGATCCTGTTTGTCAATTTTCACTTTTGTTGCAATTGCTTTTGATGTTTTTGTCACAAAATCTTTGCCTGTGCCTATGTCCTGAATAGTATAGCCTAGATTTTCTTCTAAGGTTTTTATAGTTTTGGGTTTTACATTTAAGTCTTTAATCCATCTCAAGTTAATTTTTGTGTAAGTTATAAGGAAGGGGCCCAGTTTCAATTTTCTGCATATAGCTAGCCAGTTCTCCCAGCACCATTTATTAAATAGGAAATCCTTTCTTCATTGCTTGTTTTTGTCAGGTTTGTTGAAGTAAGGTGATTGCACATGAGTGGTCTTATTTCTGAGACCTCTATTCTGTTCCATTGATGTGTGTGTCTATTTTTGTACCATTACCCTGCTGTTTTGGTTACTGTAAACTTGTAATACAGTTTGAAGTTGGATCATGTGATGCTTCCAGCTTTATTCTTTTTGCTTAGGATTGTCTTGGCTATATGGACCTATTTTGGTTCCATATGAACTTTAAAGTAGTTTTTTTCTAATTCTGTGAGGAATGTCAATGGTGGTTTAATGGGAATAGCATTGAATCTATAAATTACTTGGGCACTATGGCCATTTTCATGATATTGATTCTTTCTGTTCATGAGCATGGAATATTTTTCCATTTGTTTGTGTTCTCTCTGATTTCCTGGAGTGGTGTTTTCTAGTTCTTGAAGAGGTCCTTTGCTTCCCTTGTTAGCTGTATTCCCTGTGTTCCTAGGTATTTTATTCTCTTTGTATTAATTGTGAATGGGAGTTCATTGATGATTTGGCTGTCTATTGCTGGTATATAGGAAGGCTTGTGACTTTTGCACATTGATTTTGTATCCCAAGACTGCTGAAGTTGCTTATCAGCTTAAGAAGCTTTTGGGCTGAGACAATGAGATTTTCTAAATATAAGATTGTGTCGTCTGCAAACAGAGACAGTTTGACTTTCTCTCGTCCTATTCAGATACTTTTATTTCTTTCTCTTGTCTGATTGCCCTGGCCAGAACTTCCAATACTGTGTTGAATAAGAGTGGTGAGAGAAGGCATTATTGTCTTGTGCAGGCTTTAAAGGGGAATGCTTCCAGTATTTGCCCATTCAGGATGATATTGGCTGTGGGTTTATCATAAATGGCTCCTATTATTTTTGAGGTATGTTCCACTAATATTTAGTTTATTGAGAGTTTTTAACATGCAGTGAAGTTGGATTTTATTAAAGGCCTTTTCTGTGTCTGTTGAGATAATCATGTGATTTTTGTCTTTGGTTCTGTTTATGTGATGAGTTATGTTTATTAATTTGCATATGTGGAACCTGCCTTGCATCACAGGGATGAAGACAACTTAATAGTGGTGGGTAAGCTTTTTGATGTACTGCTGGATTCAGTTTGCCAGTATTTTATTGAGGACTTTCGCATCAATGTTCAACAGGAATTTTGGCCTGAAGTTTTCTTTTTCTTTCTTTCTTTCTTTTTTTTTGTTTTTGTTTTTTGTTTTTTGTTTTTGTTTTTGTTTTTGTTTTTTGTATCTCTGCCAGGTTTTGGCATCAGGATGATGCTGGCCTCATAAAATGAGTTAGGGAGATGTCCTTTCTTTTTAGCTTTTTGGAATGGTTTCAGAAGGAATGGTACGAGTTCTTCTTTGTACTTTTGGTAGAATTCAGCAGTAAATCCACCTGGTCCTGGGCGTTTTCTTGTTTGGTAGATTATTACTGCCTCAGTTTCAGAACTTGTTATTGGTATATTCAGGGATTCAACTTATTCATGGTTCAGTCTTGGGAGGGTGCATGAGTCCAGGAATTTATCAATTTCTTCTAAATATTCTAGTTTATTTGTAGAGAGGTGTTTTTAGTATTCTCTGATGGTTGTTTGTATTTCTGTGGGGTTGGTGGTGATATCCCCTTTATCACTGTGGCTATTTAATTCTTCCCTCTTTCCTTCTTTATTAGTCTAGCAGCTATTTTATTAATTTTTTCACAAAAAACAGCAGGATTCATTGATTTTCTAAAGGGTTTGTTGTGTTCCATTTGTTCAAATCTATTTGAACAAATGGATGTTCCATTTATCCACTGTCTGCTTCAGTTTTGCTCCAATCTTGGTTATTTCTTGTCTTCTGCTAGCTTTAGGGTTTGTTTGCTCTTGATTCTCCATTCTTTTAGTTGTGATGTTAGGGTGTTGATTTGAAATCATTCTAGCTTTTTGATGTGAGTATTTAGTGCTATAAATTTCCCTCTTAATACTGCTTTAGCTGCATTCCAGAGATTCTGTTACATTGTCTCTCTGTTCTCATTGGTTTCAAAGAACTTCTTGATTTCTGCCTTAATTTCATTATTTACCCAGGAGTAATTCAGAAACAGGTTGCTCAATTTCTATGTAATTGTGTGGTTTTGAGTGAGTTTCTTAATCTTGAGTTCTAGTTTGATTGCACTGTGGTCTGAGTGGCTGTTATGATTTCAGTTCTTTTGTATTTGCTGAGGAGTGTTTTACTTCCAATTATGTAATTTATTTTAGAGTAAGTGCCATATGGCACCAAGAAGAATGCGTATTCTGTTGTTTTTGGGTGGAGAGTTTTGTAGATATCTCTTAGGTCCACTTGATCTAGACCTGAGTTCAAGTCCTGAATATCCTTGTTAATTTTCTGTCTTGATCATCTGTCTAGTGTTGACAATGGAGTGTTAAAGCATCCCATTATTATTATGTGGGAGTCTTAAGTCTCTTTGTAGGTCTCTAAGAACTTGTTTTATGAATCTGGGTGCTCCTGTATTTGGTGCATATATATTTAGGATAGTTAGCTCTTCTTATTGCATTGATCCCTTTACCTTTTGTAATTCCCTTCTTTGTCGTTTTTGATCTTTGTCGATTTAAAGTCTGTTTTGTCAGAAACTAGGATTATAACCACTGCTTTTTTCTGCTTTCCGTTTGCTTGGTAAATTTTGCTTTATCTCTTTATTTTGAGCCTGTGTGTGTCTTTGCACATGAGATGCGTCTCTTGAATACAGCACACCAATGGGTCTTGACTCTGTAACCAGCTTGCCATTTTGTGTCTTTTAATTGGGGCATTTAGCCCATTTACATTTAAGGTTAATATTGTTATGTGTGAATTGATCCTGTCATCATGATGCTAGCTGGTTATTTTGCAGACTTGTTGATGAAGCTGCTTCATAGTATCATTGACCTTTGTACTTCAGTGTATTTTTGCAGTGGCTAGTAATGGTTTTTCCTTTCCATATTTAATGCTTTCTTCAGGAGCTCTTGCAAGGCAGGTCTGGTGGTTACAAATTCCCTCTGTATTTGCTTATCTGAAAAGGATTTTATTTCTTCTTCACTTATGAAGCTTACTTTGGCTGGATATGAAATTCTGTGTTGGAAATTCTTTTCTTTGAGAATGTTGAATCCCAATCTCTTCTGGCTTGTAGGGTTTCTGCTGAAAGGTCCAGAGTTAGTCTGATGGACTTCCCTTTGTAGGTGACCTGGCCTTTCTCTCTGTCTACCCTTAACATTTTTTCCTTTATTTTGACCTTGGAGAATCTGATGATATGTGTCTTGGGATTGATCTTCTCATGGAGTATTTTACTGGGATTCTCTGAATTTCCTGA